TCTTTTCTTCCCAAGATATTGGATTTTTAAAAATTTGTCCTACTGAGATATAATTTGTCTATAGTGAAATACACCGTTTGGCTTTGACAAATGCATTCACCCAAGTAACCAACACTCTGATCAAGATATAGAACACTTCCACCACCCCAGAAAAGTTTCTCATGCCCTTCCCAGTCAATCCCACCTCCTGGTCTCATTTCTTCACCACATATCAATTATATACCTGTTCTAAAACTTCATATAAATGGAATTATTCAGTATGCACTCTGTAGAGACCAAGATGGAGTCAGTCATGTCAAGCAGGGGCCTGTGTCAAGCAGGCAACACAAACAGGGAAGGATAATGCGCCTAGGAGATATCGCTGGGACCAGCGTCAGCTGACACCCCAAAATCGATAACTAGCAGAACCGGAGGAGGTGTTGCGGGGGACTGAGACCTTTAAAAATGGGAGGATTTTGGCAGAAAACTGTCAACTCTTCAGACATGACCTATGTCTGACCACTTGAAAAAGGTGACTGCCCTCAACACTTAAAGGCTCTGCTAGATTGATCTCTGAACAGAACCGAGATCCTCCACTGCTTGAACATAAGAAGCACTGAGTGCCAAGAGCTGACCTGGACCAGGTTGAGACCTTATTTCAACTGTGTGCCCACAGACCGACCTCAGAGTTTGGGTCATTAACTTCCTGCGTCTCTCTGTTATCTTGTTGGTTGTGTGGCTTGTGTTACATTCCGCTCTGTGTGCTGTGTAAGAAGCCAAGTTAATCACATGGTGAAATGTCGTTGAGTTTGGAATCCTGTACCTGCTTTATAATTATGCTAACCTTGCTTTATGATTGAATAAAAGTGACATCATGGAAAGACACAACTCAGTGTGTGCGCCTTCCTAGCATGCTCCTGACACACTCTTCTGTGTCTGGCTTCTCCACACAGCATAATGTTTTTCAAGAAACATCATGGCGTGTATCATAGCTTTTTTCTTTTCTCTTGCTGAGTAGTAATCTTTTATAAATATACCACAGTATCCTCCTCCTTTCTTTTGTTGAAGGACACCTGGCCTATTTCCAGTTTGGGCATTAAATAACAAATTTGTTCCAGTCCTGGCACCACTTTATCCAAACAAAAAAAAAGAAGTTTTGGGAATTGGATTTTGTTACTTTTGAGATTCTCCATTCCACTGATATTTAGATTTTTCAGGGACCTCCCTCCCTTTATCCCTCTTCAGGAAAATCATAGTACATACATGCACCCGGAGAGGAATGAAGTGGGTAACATTGAAGATTGGCAAGTTTATTTATTCAGATAAGGCATAAAGGCTGAATATAGAAAACCAGTTCTGTCCAGTCTCACAATCAAATTTTGGAAAGGGTAGGGAAAAGCTGCAAAGGGTGATAAAAGCGCAGTGAGAGTGCCAACCTGTAGTGTTTAAAGCATCATTAGGGCCCCGATGATAATTCTTATATTCTTATAAGCTTACACTTACCGAGCTCTAACTAAATGCTACACAGTGTGCTAATTATTTCATCTAATTCTTATGCTTGAGGTGGGTACATTTATTATCCCAATTTCATATAGAGCACATGAATGAATGCTCAGAAAGCACATAAAGAAGTCCATGAATACTATACATAGAATATACTCAAATGAGTATATATGAAGTAAATCATAGAAACTTAAAGGAAATTGGGACGCCTGAGTGGCTCAGCGACTGAACGTCTGCCTTTGGCTCAGGGCCTGATCCTGGGATCTGGGATCGAGTCCCACGTCGGGCTCCCTGCAAGGAGCCTGCTTCTCCCTCTCCCTGTATCTCTGCCTCTCTCTGTGTCTCTCATGAATAAATAATCTTAAAAAGAAAGAAAGAAAGAAAGAAAGAAAGAAAGAAAGAAAGAAAGAAAGAAAGAAAGAAAGAAACTTAAAGGAAATGAAGTGGTTAATTTTTCTAAAAGATTTTATTTATTTATTCATGAGAGACACAGAGAGGGGCAGAGACACAGGCTGAGGGAGAAGCAGGCTCCCCGTGGGGAGCCTGGTACAGGACTCACTCCTAAGACCCCAGGATCACAGATCATGACCTGAGCCAAAGGCAGACACTCCCTGAGCCACCCAGGCGTCCCTGAAGCGGTTAATTTTAAAATGCCTTGTGGAGTCGTGCAACTAAATAGCATAAATAATATTTCTGCTTTCTCTTTTCATTAGCATTTTGCAAACTCTTCCTAAACCATAAGGTCTCTCTGTTCAGGCGCACTGACTCTAGATAGGTGTAGTGTGTGGCGTTTACTTCCCAGGGAATTACAAACCAGCTGGGCAATTGTAGTTTCACAAATAGAGTAATCTAACACCATTCTTGGACACAAAATAGTAAGTACTTAGATATTTTAGATATACTGTTACCAACACGTCTGGCCAAAATTCATGTATAGCAAGAAGGATTTCAGTGGGAAAGCGGCTGGTGTAAAATTATTTTGGGGGATTCAATAAAAAATGATTTTTTTTCCTTAATGTGCTCTTTGTCTTCTTTCCCCTCGCTCCCTACCCCAAAAATATTTTAGTATTCTCTTTCTTAACTGCAAATTATTATTATTTTATTCACATATTTAAAATAGGAAGAGTGGAGCGGAAAATATTCCTTTTTCTGGCAAGAAAGCCCTGAATATAATGTGGGGAAATTAATCCCCAAGAAGCGCTGGATGAGCTACATGGTTTCATGTTGAAATGTTTACCCTGGGGCACCTGGATGACTTTGCAGTAAAGCATGCAGCTCTTGATCTCAGGGTTGTAAGTTCAAGCCCCACGTTGGATGTAGAGATTTCTTAAAAATGAAATCTTTAAAGAAATAAAAAAATAGTTTCCCCATGGTATTATAAACAGTGAGCTTTCTGTATTCGTTTGTGACGACTGCCTTAACAAGGTACTACACACTGGGTATTTAAGCAACAGAAACCTATAGTCTCTCAGTTCTGGAGCCTAGAAGTCCAAGATCAAGGTGTTAGCAGGATTGGTGTCTTCTGAGGCCTCTCTCCTGGACTGCAGTTAGTCATCTTCTCCCACGTTTTCATGAGGTCTTCCTCTTTGGACTGTGTTCTAATCTCCTCTTTGCAAAGGACACTAGTCATATTGGATTAGGGTCTACTCACATGATCTCAATTTACCTTCATACCTCTTTAAAAATCCTATCTCGAGCAGCCCGGGTGGCTCGGTGGTTTAGTGCCACCTTCGGCCCAGGGCCTGATCCTGGAGACCCGGGATCGAGTCCCGCATCGGGCTCCCTGCATGGAGCCTGCTTCTCCCTCTGCCTCTCTGCCTCTGTGTGTGTGTGTGTGTCATGAATAAATAAATAAAATCTTTTAAAAAAATCCTATCTCAAGTACAGCCACATTCTGAGGTGCTGGAGTTTCGGACTTCAACATATCAATTTTGAGAAAACACCATTCAGCCCATACCACTTCCTAGCTGCATCACACAGCTGTTAACCTGATAAAATTAGAGAATACTTAGGAAAATGCTATAAATGCAATTATATCCTGTACAAGAGGGTGTTTGTTAGGGTCGTTAAATCAGTCACATTGCAACTATTTTAAAATCGTTAAGTTGGTTGTATGGAAGGATGTTAGTGGCTATTATTTTAGAGGGCTAGAGTATGAAGAGAATCAGGACATGATGAAGGTCGTATCTACAAACAAGTAGTTTAATTTTTAAAAATCCTCTAAGTTAAAAAAAATTAGAAAACTAATCTAACAATGGGTAATTATAAGAGCATATGAGGTCTGTTTTTGTTGTTAAGTTTAAAATGACTCATGAAGAGCATGGAAAAAATAGTATCAGGACAGAATGGCCTTGAAATTTAGCGTATCCTGCTGGCATCACTTGCCTATGGAAAAATTAGAATGAATCATAGGATGAATAGAGAGGATGCACTATGCTTTGGTCGCACTTTTGCGTGACTAGAGCATAGTTCAATCTTCTAGTGTCCAGGGAAGAATTAAAGGGACCCAATATTGGGAAAAGAACAGAACAGATTGTTCGTTATGAAGATTAGAAGACTTTGTCTTAAAAGTATTATGCGAGTCACAGTTAACATCTCAGTCTCAGCATTTCAGATTTGATCTCATGCCTATAATAATACTGTCATCCCTCTTCACCCGATTACTTTTCTTTTTATATCATTAGCTACTTTGATCATCCAAGTCTCTCTCTTTTTTTTTTTTTTTTTTAAGATTTTATTTATTCCTGAGAGACACAACGAGAGAGAGGGAGGCAGAGGGAGAAGCAGGCTCCAGGCAGGACTCGATGCCGCGTCTCCAGGGTCACGCCCCGGGCCCAAGGCAGGCGCTCAACCGCTGAGCCGCCCAGGGAGCCGCCCAGGGAGCCGCCCATGGACCCCCCCGTTTTCAATCAGTTCCTGGATTTGTCTTGCTTTCCCCAGGCTACACGCCGAAATAGACGCCGAGCTCTCCCTCTGCGCCTGAAGAGGCCTTCCTGCCCGGGGCAGGTTCTGAGAGCGCGAGCGCCCCGCCCCCGCCCCCGCCCCCGCCCCCGCGTCCTCCGCGCAGCGTCCGCCTCCTGCACCTGCAAACTCTGCGCTTTGCGTTCCCGTCGCCCTCGTCCCTCCGTCCTCCGCATCCGCCTCGGGACGGAGCCTCGGCGCCGGCGGCCAGGCTGAGTCACGCCAGCGGCCTGCTCGCCGGACACTGTCCGTACGCCCAGGGGACACTCGGGGGACGCGAGGAAACCGACAGCCAATCCGCGCGCCGGCATCTCCGGCCTCCGGGGTCGGGCGCCCGCGCCCCGCCCGCCCCGCCCGCCCCGCCCGAGGACCGCAGCTGCGGGGCTGCGGGCGCCGCCCGGTGCCTGCTCGGGCGCCGCTGATTGGAGGCGCGGGGCGGGGGCGGGGGGCGCGGCCAATCGGGGCGCCCCGCCGCCCCCGTCCCCGCCGCCCGGTCCCCGCCGCCCCCGTCCCCGCCGGCCCCGTCCCCGCCGCTCCCGCCGCCCGGTGCCCCGCGCCCGCGCAGCCATGCCCTCCGCCCGGCCGCCCGCGGCCCCCGCCGACGCCTCGCCCTGGCCCCCGGGGCCGCCGCCGCCGCCGCAGGTGCTGCTGCTGCTGCTGCTCGGCCTGGCCGCGCTGCTCGCGGGGCGCTGGCTGCGGCGGCACCGGGCGCCGGGCATCCCCCCGGGGCCCACGCCCTGGCCCGTGGTGGGCAACTTCGGCTTCGTGCTGCTGCCCCCGTTCCTGCGGCGGAACAGCTGGCTGCACCGGCGGGCGGCGGCGGCGGCGGGCGCGGGCGACGCGGGGGGCGCGCGGGGCGCGGAGCCCTCGGCCCGGGGCCCGCAGCTGCTCCTGGCCGACCTGGCTCGCGCCTACGGCAAGGTCTTCAGCTTCTTCATCGGCCGCCACCTGGTGGTGGTCCTCAGCGACTTCCGCAGCGTGCGCGAGGCGCTGGTGCAGCAGGCCGAGGTCTTCAGCGACCGGCCGCGGGTGCCGCTCGTCTCCCTGGTGACCAAGGAGAAGGGTGAGCCGCGGCCGCCTCCCGCTCTCTCCGCCCCTCGTGCCCGCGCGGCCCGTCCCCGTCCCCGTCCCCGTCCCGGTCCCCGTCCCGTCCCCGTCCCCGTCCCCGTCCCCGTCCCCGTCCCCTTCCCCGTCCCCGTCCCCTTCCCCGTCCCGGTCCCCGTCCCCTTCCCCGGGGCCTCACGGTCGCCCCGAGCGGCCGCAGGAGCGACTCGGTCCCATTCCCCAGATGCCAAGTAGGAAGCCCGCCCGAGAGCTGAGGACGGTGGTGGGGCCGGGGCCGGGGGCCGGGGCCGGGGCCGGGGGAGCGTGCGAGGGCCGGGCTCTGACTGCCTCGGGACGCGGGCCCCGTGTCCCAGGGGGCGCGTTGGCCGCGGTAGGAGGAGGCAGGGACGTTCCGGACTCTTCTGAGCTCTGACGGAGGGTTTAAGGCCTGCTCCATAAGGTAGGAGGTCCAGGGGGACCTCCGGGTGGCCCAGCGGTTCAGCGCCTGCCTCCAGCCCGGGGTGTGATGCTAGAGATGGGGGATCGGGTCCACGTCGGGCTCCCTGCGTGGGGCCTGCTGCTCTCTCTGCCTCTCCCTCTCCCTCTCTCCCTCTCTCTCTCTGCCTCTCATGAATAAATGAAAATCTTAAAAAAAAAAAAAAAGATAGAAGGTCCAGAAAACACCTTAGAAGCATCATTGGCCAACCTCTGGGTTTGCAGCCTCAGTGATTTCTGCTTCTAGAGACACAAGTAGGGCAGTTTTGAAGGTTGGCAACATGCTACCCACGCAGTAAAGGTCGCGTCACCCTTGCACTACCTCCGGCCCAGCCCCCATCGTTCATCCGTCTTACCCTCGTCTTACTGGCTGGTAGAGATCCCAGACTTCTTTTTCTTTTTTTGTCTGACGTTAATTTAATTGCCTTTCATCAATCAGATGTTAATTTAAAGGTCTTTCCCTCAGGAAGCTTTTTGTCACTTCCTCTCGAGTTAGGCTCCCTTTTGGAAACAATTTCTTTTGCTTGCTGCACTTCACAAAACTGGGGGTGCATAATCTGCAGCCTTGCGCCTGGATGTGGGTCTTCACCACTAGACTGACATCTAGGAGAATGTGGCATAAAGAGATCCGGCTTTTTAGAATCTGATTACGCCATAGTTTTGCCAGGATTTTAAGTGAATAGTAAATGGTGATCATAATGTTTTGAATGTCCCACTGAAAAACACATGTCATAGTTCATAACTCACCATCTCCATGCCTTTACACATTGCTACCACTGCTTCTACCTAGAATTCTCTTCCCGTCTCATGGCTGCCTAGAGAACTCCTGTTTGCTTTGCTTTTCTCTTTATTAAAAAGAAATGAAATACATATAACATAAAATTTGCCATCTTAACCGTTTTTTAAAAGATTTTATTTATTTATTCATGAGAGGCACACAGAGAGAAAGAGGCAGAGACACGGGCAGAGGGAGAAGCAGGCTCCATGCAGAGAGCCAGACACTGGACTCAATCCCAGGTCTCCAGGATCAGGCCCTGAGCCAAAGGCAGCACTAAACCACTGAGCCACCTGGGCTGCCCTTTCTTAACCATTTTGAAGTTCAGTGACATTAAGTTATTCACATTGTTGTGAGACCAGTACAGCTATCTGCAGAACACTTCATCTTGGAAAACTGAAACGTCATACCCATTAAACAAACATTTAAAAAAAAAAAAAAAAAAAAACTCCCTTCTTGGAGCACATGGCTGGCTCAGCTGGCAGAACCTGTGGCTCTTGATCTTGGGATCATGAGTTCAAACCCCAAATTGGAGGTAGAGATTACTTAAAATCAAAAACCAAACCAAAGCAAACCAACCAACAAAAAAAAACAAACCCCACCTTCCTCTCTCTAGCCCCTGGCAACCACTGTTCAGTTTTCTGCCTCTATGGATATGGCTATTCTAGGTAATTGATATAAGTGGTATCATAAAATATTTGTCCTTTTGTGACTAGAATATTTCACTTAGCGCCATATTTCACTTTCCATATTGTAGCATGTGTGAGAATTCCCGTCCTTTTTTAGACTGAATACTATCCCATTGAATGCATATAACACATTTTGTTTATTCTTTTGTCCCCTAATTGACAGTTGGGTACTTCTATCTGCCTTTTAGCTATTGTGAAAAACGCTTCTATGAACGTGGCACATATCCATTCAAGTCCCTCCTTTCAGTTCTTTTGGGTAGATAACCAGAAGTGGAATTGCTTGATCATATGACAATTCTGTATTTAATTTTTTGAGTAACTGCCCTACTGTTTTCCATGGTGGCTGCACCATTTTACCTTCTCTGGTGGCACAGAACAAGGTTCCAATCTGTCCACATCCTTACCAACACTTGTTATTTTCTGTGTTCTCTTACCTGCTTGACTGTCACCTCTTTGAGACGGTGTTCCCTGACATACTTCTCTACTCCACCTGGGAGAGGTGAGCTACCTTTCTCTGTGATACCACTGTTTTATTTTAAACTTCGCTTCGCTCCCACCCCCTACCAATCAGTCAGCACATCTTGGCAACTCCTGCTGCAGAGACAGTTCTGCATCCGTCCACTTTCTTCCATCTCCATTTTCAACACCCTCTTCCAAAGGACCATCATTTGCATCTGATACTTGAAGCCTCTTAACTAGCCTGCTTACTTCCACCCCAATTTTTTATCCACACAGCAGCCAAAGAGATCTCTTTTTAAAAAAACCATGAATCAAACATGTTGCTCCCCAGCTGAAACCAGTTGCCTCCAACTCTAACCTTGACCTACTGAGCCCCGAAGGATCTGGCCCCTGCCTGCCTTTCAGATTTTATCTCTTTTCATTCTGCCTTTACGTGTCCATTTCAACCTGCTCTAGAAACATTAAGCAGATTCCGGCCAAGCTGGTCACTGCCTCAGTCTGCTGGGTTTGTGGTCCTTGGGCCTGGAATAACTTTTCACTTGATTCACTCCTTATCCTCTCTCAGGCCAATTGTTACCTTTAGGTCCTAATTTAGACACTGTCCAATATCATAGCTTATTTTATCTCATTCATATTTCACTCATTAAATACTTTGAAAATATTTAAGTTAATACCAGTCTTACTGTGGACTATAAACTCTGTGACGGCAAAGATTTGCTTCATCTTATTAACCACTGTATCCCCACTTACTGGTACAAGTTGGTAATCAAGAAGTGAATTAATATGTGCATACAAGCATCTGTTGATGCACTTACATATTATATTTTGAATTTTTTTTTGCATGCCTCTCTTCCTCTAGATTTTTTTAAGGTATGAATTAGATTTTCTTCTGTGACTCCTACACAGGCAGTTATCACTGATCTGATTTAGATTTTCTTCTTTGAGGTCCTTCTTGGTGGTTTATGGTTTGCTCAAAAATCCATAATAAGACAGTTTCTAAATATTAGTTGGATCACAACTTATTATTATATCCTTCTTTATGTAAGAAAGGATTGGGAGCATGGGGTAACTTGGTGCTTCAACTAAAACATTCATTTCCAAGAGACAGCTAGGATTTTTAGGTGATACTGCTCTGGTATTCTCATGGATGTGTGTTGGGTTATGTGCTGTGAATTGAGAAAAATACTGTGGCTGGCGAAGGCGATTGACAACAGAAGGTGAAGGAATAACCATAGGTCACAAAGGAAATGCTTCTGGGGTTAACTTAGAGTAGAAAACAGATCATTTGAATAGGAAAATGTAGATAGCCAAGGAATTTTTTTAATGGAACTTTTTTAAGGGTGAAGAATAAGAGGGGAGACTGTGAGTTCATTTCAAGATGCCCATCAAAGGGTGAAGGACCAGACAAATTCTGAGTAGACTTTATAGATCAAGAAATGGATAGGCTGGAGAAGAGAGGCCATGAGAGCTACAGGCTGAGCTACTCAGCTCAGCAAGATTTCAGGAGTGCCCCAGCTACTTTTGGCTGCTGTTTCCAATACAGAATTGTAAAATTGACTAGAAAAGAGTTGTGTGGAGCATAGGAGAAAGAGAAATGGTATTAGGAAGTAGAGGTTAATAACATTATTAAATATTTGTCACAAGATATTTTTAAGGAATGTTGCTGCTAGGGACACCTGAGTGACTCGTGGTTGAGCATCTTCCTTCAGCTCAGGGCGTGATCCTGGAGATCCCGGATCCAGTCCCACATCCGGCTCCCTGCATGGAGCCTGCTTCTCCCTCTGCCTATGTCTCTGCCTCTCTCTGTGTGTCTCTCATGAATAGATAAATAAAATCTTTAAAAAAAAAAAAAAAGAAAGAAATGTTGCTGCTAAAGTTGGCGAGACTAGCAGAAAAGGGAATGTTTCATAAGCAGCAATGTGCACAGACAGGCTTGAAATAGTTGGCAACACATTGCCAAAAAGGTCTAGAATGGGGAGGTTGTTTATTTTGTTTATTACATTTGAATTTTTCAAAATGTCATGCTTAGACAAGTTGATATTCTTTTTTAAGCCCATAAAAACTACAGTAAGCTAGACATGACCATAAAGATATTTTACATTAGCCATGCCCATCATACTTATTAGTGCATCTGAATCTTTTCCTGAGCAGGAATAGAAAATAAAGTTACAGAGTCAGAGCCAAGGCTACCAAGAGTGCCTCACTCTAAGTGTGGTCAATTTCTTTGAAAAGTCTTGTGCACATCACATTTTTATTATAAAATATTTCAAATATGAAGTTCAGAGAGCAATATAAATTCATTTATCTACCACTCAGATTTGCTTCAGATTCATAAATAATACATGGTTTCATTTGTTTTTTTTTTGTAACATACATATTTATTTGTTTATTTGAGAAGGTGTATGTGTGAGCAGAGGTTGGCGGGGGGGGGGGGGGGAGGGGGGGAGGGGAAAAAGGGAAGAATCTGAAGCAGCCTTCACTGGAGGCCTGTGCTGGGGCTCCAGCTCACGAACCCAGGATCAAGACCTGAGCCGAAATCAAGAGTCAGATGCTTAACCAGCTGAGCCACCCAGGAGCCCCTAAAGTATCTTTCTACTTCCC